TTTGCTTATGCCCCATTTGTCTTAAGTGATCATGTAGGTAAGGTATGCATCATGGAATGCCAATTTACTAGAACAAAGTGTTCTTGCATTGTGGAAGTACTTGACTGGAGGCCCAATTCGACAAGTCTTTATGAAGCAATTCTCCAACTGCTGAGTGTCATTTCCTAGGGGGTCAGAGAGTAGAGTTTGCCAACTTCAGTGAGTGATTTAGTCAGTGCTCATTTATAAGTCAATTATTTGGCAGTGTTCTCCAACGAAGTCACTTGCAGTCACTGCAGTAGGTGTGTGGCTTGTGTAAATAGTGTGTTGGCAGATCCCTTATGAGTCAGCAATAAATGCCAGCATTTGGTGGAATAGGAAGCATTTTACAAATAATGTTCTTGAGGTTAATGTGTTTTTTTGGGGGGAGTATTTCTTACAACTTCTCTACCCCTTCCCTATTGATCTAATTAATTGGATGATACCCACTTGAAGAAAAACACTGCTTTTTTCAGAAAACGTGTGCTCAGGTGCTTATATGGTTAGTAAGGCCTTTGCTGCTTTCTATTGACTCAAAATCCTCTTGAAGTTCATTCTGATGCTGTTGTTGCTTCTTTTTGGCATCATTATGCTTGCTAACTTGTACTAGGTATGGCAGTAAACCAGCAGGCTAATTGGGGACATGGAGATTCTACTATTTATATTGATTAGGGAGTTCCTTCTGGGAGCCCTACCAAAACCTGGGTAGCAAAGCTCAGAGCTCAGAATGTAGTGAACCTCTTGAGATACTGCCCTGCCAGATGTTTTGCAGAAACAATGGCTGGCATGTGTATTTTCTTCCATAGCTAATTACTTTTAATCATCTTGATTATGAAAGTTTATACCTGATACGATTGACACATTGATTAGTGTGCTTCTCCTATGTGGACTTTGTCACTTCCCTGCTCGTTGGCCACTTTTTAAAGTTCAAGTCTTTAAGACCCCAGACACCATATCTTTTAACAGCCAGGTACTATCTTCACCACATTTGCTAATGCACCCATTTTGTCTTCAGCAATCATATCGGGAAGATGAGTATCACATAGTGCCAGGTTATTAGAACAAA